ACAACAACAATAATAAAGATATCATTAATTAATTAATTCTTACTTGCAAAATATTATAATTAATTTAATTTAACTGTAATATATTGTCAACATTATTCTATTATGCATAAATACCAACATTAATTTAACAATTTTTATTTATTGATATTTTAATGACTCTTTATCATCTTTACAATGAGGGAGAAGGTGGCAATATCAGTGAAAGCAAACATGATAAAGAGGATGGTGATAATATACTGGATATAAATTTAAATGAGATGACTATCAAATGATTAAATGAATTTTAATAAGAAATGAAGACAATGCCAGCAATAAGACTATGTGGTTGCAACCAACATCAAAAGTTGCAGCCAGTATCTTTGACAAACAACCAAAAAATGGAAATAGAGACATTTAATAATTAATAAATATGATTTGTTTTCTCAATGGCAAAAGATTAACACATTCAAAAGTAAAAAAAAAAAATATATTATTGTTTTATTAGCAATAATTAATGAAATGTTTTGATTTGATAACCATCCTAGATATTCATTCACACTTGAAATTTATATATATATAAATTGATTAATTATCTAATTAAATTCTTGATTTTTCTTTGTTTTTGAAATACACGCCAAAATTTCAAACACTCATCACCTAAAGTTGCTACAATTTCTCCCCCAGGGCTCAAAGCTGAGTGTAAAATACAATCTGAATGTGCATGCTTAACATCAATAATTTTCTTTAGTGAAGGATATTTCCAGATTGTAAATTGGAAATTTGGATCTCCATGAGTTGATAATACTTCATTGTAGTGATTTGACCAAACAATTGATGTAACCTGTGATTGAGTATTAATTGATTTCAATTGCAATGATGTATCTGTATTCCAGAAATAAATTTGTTGATCTGCTATTCCTCCACCTGTTGCAAGCAAATTTCTTTGCCAAGGGCTCCATGCAATTGCCTTTATTTATATTATAGTGTATATATATTATGAATGTACATGTATGTATATAAAATCAAGTTATTAATATATATATTTACCTTGACAGCAGCTTTATGGTCAGTTTTAGTAAACTTTGGAATGCTTGATTTTGCATCCCAAATATTAACTTTACAGTCATCACCTCCACTAGCCAATTGTTCACCATCACTTCTCCATTTCAAACCACAAACTTCTCTATTATGATTGTGCATTTCTCCAAATTTATGTTGTGCAAGTCTAATATCATGTTTCCAAATACTACCATCCCTACATCCTGAAGCAATAATATGTTTATTCCATGTCATAACACCTACACGAGTAGTATGACCATTCATTGATCTAATCTTTTGAACACTCCAAATATTCCATATTTCAATATTGCCATCATTCAATCCCACAGCAAGATGATCACCATCTTCAGACCATGAAAGACTTGAAATAGTATTAGTACCACTTCTAATTATAGTAATTGCTGACAACTCATCAGTTATTATATCCCACAAATAAACTCTTTTATCTATTCCAACTGCCACTATATTTTGGTTACTCCAATCCAATATATTTAAGTAATAGTCATCAATCACTCCTAGTACATCAAGTGTATATTCAGGGCTTGTTGGTATTATGCGTTTTTTGATACATGATGACTCTGGTTGACAATTGTAAATTTGGTTTAATTGATCAATTTTTTGATAATGGTTATTAGGTTGATGATGTTCAACCTTAAATTCCAATATATTCTTATCAATTGCCAATCCATATGCACATGCCAATTCCTTTTGATATTCTTGTTCAGGACTATTCAGGTCCTTTCCAGTCCTGATATTTCTGTGCAGGAATTGCTGGCCATTTGTATTATTTGGAATAAATCTATCATACTATTTTTAATAAACAAATATTTATTGTTAATATATTTTTAAATCTAAATAAAATATTTCTTAATATCTAATTCAAATATCATCATCAAACAAATATATATATATATATATCTACTGTATACATACTACATGTGCCTGAGATTTAGCCTTCCTTTTTCTGGGAGACAAATCACCAGACCAACCTTTTGTTCTTTAAAATAATTATGTAAAATTTAATAATGTGTATTATGATATTCTAACTAGAGTGACAACGAGTGGTGATATGTGCCTGAGATTTAGCCTTCCTTTTTCTGGGAGACAAATCACCAGACCAACCTTTTGTTCTTTAAAATAATTATGTAAAATTTAATAATGTGTATTATGATATTCTAACTAGAGTGACAACGAGTGGTGATAACCACCACCATTCTCATGATAAATTAGAGTGGCAGGCAATAACTACCACCACCATCCTTATGATAAACACTTACCCAAAATATTTATCACGACCGGTTTCTTTTCTTCTTTTATTGTTTCCTGAAGACATTTTAAAGCAATAAAAGATAATTATTGATTTGATCAACAAACGCGTCATTGATTATTTATTATTGGCACTTGGTGTTGCACAGGTTTTTTTTTGTTGACGCGAATTGATTTTTTTTTTTTCTTGGGAAACAAATTTATTTTTTGACAGAGTCCAACGTGAGAGTTGTTGGTTGGTCCTCCTAAAGAAGACGTGTTAATAACTAACCAGAGGTACTATTTTTATTTGTATTGATTGATATTTTTATTTTAGTTTATAAATATTTTAATTGGAATCAAAACGTGGAGTGGATCTTGCTGGGTAATTACAAGATTTTCATTGATAAATATTTTAATTTTCATAATCAATATAATATTCTTATAAATATTATAATTACAAGATGTCAAGGCGGCATGACTGACTGTTGTAGAAGAAACAATTCAATATGAAACAATTCAAACATAAAACAATTCAATGTGATGTTTGATTATCGGAAGTTAAAGCACGCACGCTACCTTGAACACTTTACAGTCATTCTCATCTTCCTCACATGCAAAGGCTAATCTGACCAAGATTACCCCGATGATACAATGATGCAACCGAATTCCGGAGGGGGGTAACATGGCACTGGAGTTTACCGAGATTGCATCAATCGTCAATGACACTTTCACTAATCTTCCCTCACAGCGCCTAGACCAGAGATGGCCGCTGGCATGCTAGCCGAAAAGTCATCTGCAACGATCCCACCTCTAGGGCAAAGATGGTTCTATGACCAAGATGTTGCAACTCTGGAGGAATATTAAGAGAATCTGCAACTCGTTTCAAGCACAGGAGGTTGCAATTCAGAGCAGGGTTGGTGGCCCTGAAATTGCATTTGGACTCTGATGTTAGAGGAAAGTTGTAAAGTAGTGTTTGTTTTGTATAATCATTTTCCTAAATCCTCTGTTTCTTTGATACTAACCAATTTATAATTTTGGGTAGGGGTTTTTACCCAATCACTCCTTTGTCCTGTAGATTAAAATTATTGCATGATTATATATATCTTTGTCAGCAATATGGCCAACAAGGAAAAAGTTAGAAAATGGTTTTGATTTTGTTTGGTATGTTATAAATTAATCATTCCCATAAATTTTCTGTTTCTCTTAATCTTTATTCGACCAACTGAATTTGTTATTTAAATAAATGATGTAGGGTTGTTGGTGAGTATGCATGCCACCAACAAGATAGCAACCCAGGACTCAAAACTCTGAATCCAAAACAGCAACCCAGATTGCAACCTCCTGAGTTGGAGAATTTTCAATTAGCCACAGACATCAACTTTATGCTACAGATTGGAATAACACAAAGCAACCATCACACAAATGCTAGCTATCAGTGATCAATGCCCATATGGCAACAGCCAGTCTGGTCTGAGAGGAAGATAATGAACATTTTGTCCAAAACCTTCTAACATATGGATGGCCTTCACCTGTGGGAAAAATTTCACAATCATGAGGGTGTGTGAAAGCACTAATTTGCATGTTTGTGATAGGAAAATTTTAATTAAATCTGACACCTACAATCAACATCGGATTTATTATTCATAAGGGACCATAATTGATAATCAAGAAAAATAATTTATTTTGTGAACCCCAAAGATCTGGGTAGACATTCATTATTAAAAGTTTTATTCATGCATGTCCTTGGTATTATTACTAATCCTATTTTTAATTAATTTAATAAACCAATAGCTCTTTTATATTGTAATTAAATTATTGGTTAAACGTTTCTAAAGTTCTTTGTACTAAAATAATATCATAATCTTGAGTAGTAGTTAGGTTTCTATTCAAATAAGGTTTACTCAAATAAAACAAACAATTTGAGTAAAAATAAAACGAATTAAACGAATTAAACGAATATAATAAAAAATCAAAATCACATGTCATTCTGAAATATTTAAATTACTTTCATTATATTTTCCAAATTTTCCGTATAGGTTTACTAACATCTACAAATTCAAAACTTGAACGAAATTTATCAACTATCTTTGACTATATGACATCATCCACACACTGTTTTAGTCCTTGATTATTGCACTCTTCAAGAACAAAAATGTGGCTTAATGTTCTGAAAACAAAACGGAATAAGATATAAAAGAGCTCTCTAACTTAAAACACTAATGATACAAATAATTCTTCCTCGGATCGTTCAATCGAATAATTTTGAGATTTACGCAATCTACTGATTTGGAAAGAAAGACAGTTAAAAAAATAACTGCAATCATAAAGCAATTTTATCATTAGTTATAGTTACCGTTACTGATTTATCAATATTATGAGGAAGTGATTTTTTTTCAAATCCTAATGTATCGTCATCATTAGCAGACTGATAAGGAGGAGTGTATAGTGAACCAAATATTTCTAATAAGTTCTATGAAAAGGTTAAAATTTGTAATATATATTTTAGTTGAAGCACCTACGGTAGCGAAAAAGAAATCAGTAAACTATTGCAACATTATGGTATTATTTTTTTTTTTGATCTATTGATATTTAGTTGGTCGTCGCAGCGCAAATTTCAAAGACAGATTTATTTTGTTTTTTTTTACCGCCTTATTAAATTTTGTAACTCTTCAACATCAACATTTCTAAGTTCTCATATTCTTCTAGTGCTGCTTTAACTGAGAGTAGTCAAAATTAAGATATGTAATTTTTCTAATGAGGGAGCTCGGCTCATTGCAACATATACTTGTCTCTCACCAAATATGTTCTCGTCGACATTCAACGTCACGTGCGGTAGGGGTTAACCCTTGCGTCTTGTCATATCAAGGCAAAGGCGTTTTGGAGGGGAACTGTTTTCTCAATGCTCTCTTATCATCGATTTCGAAATAGCAAGGATGAAGACGAAGAAAAAGGTGACGATTTTTCACTTTTATTGGTTTTATTATCAAAGCTGTTGCTATTATTCTCTTCCTTTTCGGTCACAACATTTTACTCCGCATCTTTCGAAGTAAGGTGGATTGTTGCTGGTGCTAATTCTGAGTTTCTTGATGACAGAAAAGATTGAGGTTTTGATATATTCAACAAAACTTTGTATTGGTTATTTTTATTTAAGTTACAAATAGCTCCGTCTCTATGTTTTTAATTTTTGTTATTTGGTTGTAGAGGTTTTTGTTTAACCTTGAAATAGTTTTTTTCTCCATATGGCGTAGTTGAATCCGAGAACAACAAAAGGGGATCATAATACTCTATTTATATCTTCTGGTTTATTATCATTGTTATCAATGGTAATTGTTTGAATGAGGGAAATCTGAAAAACCCACCTCGGGTTTTTACCTTGAGCATTTTTGCGAAACTTCTAACTATTATGATGTACATACTCTATGTTGTTCTCGTATACATATCGACCTACAAAAACCAATGTGGCTTTTTCCAAAGTCGGTTACATTATAATTATTAAAACCCCTTTGTACTGAACCTCTCTGAAATGGTTGGGACAGACCACTTATCACATTTTCAGTGGTCAAAAAAACGGAAGGCATGATGATTTAACTATTTTTTTTTTTATACTCTTCATACATTTTTTTATATTATTTTATTTCTTAATTTTGGTTTTGAGTGAAAATAATTTTCAATCTTTATATTTAATAAGTTTTATTTATAAATAGATTGGTTTAAATGTGAAGAAAAATCTCGTATTTCTCTGCTCTGGAACAAGAATTAAAAATTGTAAAAAAAATTTTTATTAATTATAAAGTTTTAAGAAAGTAATATATAATTTACATAAATAAATTTGTAGTGAAGATTAAATTAATCATTCATTGATGTTTCAACATCTTTTCCCTTATTATTATTATTATCATTATTACTAGAATCTAATATTTATTAATTCATTAAACAAGAATAAAAAAGATTGTTAGTAATAATAATTTAACAATTAATAATTTAAATTAATTTATTAATGAAATTTTTAATTATTTACCATCGTTAAAATCAATGTTTAAGAGAATATCATTAATATCAAGATTATTTAATGAACTGTTGTTACTTTTTAAACTTTTTGACTTTGTAATTTCATCATCTAATATTCTACTTTTATGATATGCATCTGGATGTGATTTATGTATTTGTTGTGAATTACTACTACTACCACTAGTAGTATTATTATTACTACTATTACCAACACTGTTATTGTCATCATTAATATTTTTAAAAACTTCATTACGTTTATTGCAAGCAAATTCCCAAAGTTCTCTACTAGTTGGTCTTTTAGATGGATCCACATCCCAACATTTCTGCATCATTTGTACATAGTCATCAGGCATCCCAGGTAATATTGGTGGTCGTAAACCTTCACATATATCAAAAATTAAATGATGATTATGGCCTCTATCATCAAATGGTGGATGGCCTGCAAATATTTCCCACATTAACATCCCAACACTATAAATATCTGTTTCTTTTGTGTTCTTTGTATTAATTTTGCCTCTAAGTAGCTCAGGTGCAACATATGATATAATTCCATAGATTTTATTTGATGATTTTTCATCAACTGGCCCACATAATCCCAAATCTGTAATATAACAATTACTATGTAAATCACAATGGATTAAATCTTTTTCATGTATATCATCTAATGCATTACATAAATAATCAAAAATTGTAATTCTATTTTTTAATGTTAAATTAGAATGATTTTTTTGTAAATAGTCCCTTAAATTTCCTTCTGGATATTGATTAAGAACAATTGCATAATTTCCATTATCTAGGAATTTAGTTATACCATAGCATTCAACAATTGTTGATGATCTAATTTTATAATTCATTGCCTATAAAATCAATTAGTATTATATAATACAATGTTATTTAAATAAAAATTACCAACCTCATCAAAAAATGATTTTCCTGGATTACTTGAATTATTTAAACTTTTTAATACTACTAGTTGCCTTCCATAATAATTAAATTCCTTTTTATTTTCATCATAATCATCAATACATCCCCTTGTCCATGTAGCAGTATAAATTGAACTAAATCCACCTTGAGTTAATTTTGTTACTTTTTCAAATTGTTCAAAAGATATCCATTCTAAAATATAGTTTGGCAAAGATGATTTCATTGAATAAAATTATCAATTATGTTATTTCCAGATGTCCAATTAGTGAAAAGACTCTGTAGTTGTAAACTAATGCAACCTTCACAAAATCTATCAGAGTATCTTGTTGTTTTACACTTACATTCTTTTGGTTTGCCAAGTTTATTAATTATATTATTTAATTCAAAACTATAAATGAAATGTCCTCTACAATATTCTTTTTCATTCTCAGAAAGCTCCTTATTTTTTTCAACTAATGAAAAAAAATAATCTTTTCTACTTTTTCTTTCAGGATTATTAGTCAGAGCATTATTATACATTTCTTTACGAATTTTAAATACAAATTGACTTCTTTCTGATGATAATAAATTATTAAATGACATTTTAACTTTATTTAATATCTTTTTATAAATTTATTTTGGAAAAAGGTAAACAAAAAAAAATTTTATTGAGTGACATGTAACAAACAATTCTACTTTTATTTTCTAACTTTTTATTATATCAATGGGCTTTAACAGTTAACATCTTTATCAGGAAGATATTCTTGATAGGGAGTTCTTCTTGATAACTCATTGATACTGTTTTCAAATTGAAATACATTTATAAAGGGATTTTAGACATGTAACTTTATACATTTCAGAACTTTTATTAGAAGCACAAATATTGTTAAAACATGGGATCTCGAATTGTTCTCATTTGAAATTTTTTAAATTTTTTATTATATATAGTTTATGTTATTTTTACTTTTATAATTTATTTAATGAATGGTCTGCAAAATCATGATTTTATAAGAAATATTTCGAGTTGGATCGAGCCTAGTATAAACACGGCTCGTTCTAAGTTTTAACTACAGCCGTTATTATTATTATTGCTGCTACCGCCACTACTGTTATTGTTAGAATTACTACTCTTATTATTATTATTACTGCTGTTATTATTATTGTTGTTGTTACTGTCGTGTCCCCCCCCCCTGGTGGAGATAATAATGTTGTCGTCTTAATTGTTGAACTAGTAGTTGTTGTAGGTTGATGACAATGATGATTACAAGGGGGAGGGGAACGATGATGTCGATGATGACGACAAATAGGGTGAACGAGAATGACGATGACGATGGCGAGGAGGAGTGCGATGGCGACGATGCCAATGTTGACGTTAATGCTGATCTTGAGAGGCAATGTCTCCAATAATAATAATAATTGGATTTTGTATGCTGCATATATGTTAAAAAGTAAGATATAAGGAATTAATTAGTTGGCCAATTGTAATAAATATATTGTAAGTGTTTGCAATGTTTATTAATTGATTGATTACCTTTCACCTTTCATTTTTGTCATTATTATTATTAGTGCTAGTGGTGAGAAGAAAGGACTATAAAGATTCCAAAAAAAAAATTTTTTTTTTATGGGAATTTAATTTTTTAATTTTTAATTTTTTTTAATCGTAAGATACTGGTATTTTTATAGGGAATATTGATCTAAAATAAATTTGATATTATCACTATTACATAAAAAACCATACAATGGTGACGTAACAACAATTGTTCATTGATATTCAATTCACACGTTATTCAACCTTTACTATTACATAAAAAGAAGAATTAATGCCAAAATTGACATTAATTTTAATGTACTTAAACAAATAACACACTTTTCAATCTATCCTCTTGGCTAAACCTATTTCAAACTTTCGTTTTTAATTATTAATATTAACGGTTAGTGTTCAATGATTACTGTTATTTTTCAATATACCCAGTTCTGGCTTAATTCATTGTTTAATACGTTAACTCGGTTGCATAAATTTTGCGATATATTCAAGTCAACAAATCCATCATAATCATTCATCAACATTTACTAACACTTTTTGTTTTATCACATGATTTGTCTGAATGGTTTATTAACTCTCGATTGTAATTATGGTGCAGAAAGTTCAGCATGATGTCATTTTCTCGATACCTTAGTTCTAGCGCAAGATTAATGAATAACCTTTGTTACTATTATTAATTAATTGATCAAGGTTTTTTCTTTCCATCAATTAATTTTTGATGTGATTAATTCCGAAAATTACTCCCAAAAATACAAATCAAAGAAAAAATTATCTTCAATTCAACACCCCAAAAAATTTTTTAGTAAAACAGCCGATTTTTACCTACTTTATTAATATAAGAGGCAAATGATAAATGCATATTAACCCTTTTTATTGAAAAATGAAACCAAAGCCATTACTATCAGTTACAAGTTGATTATATGTTAACTAGGGTAAAAAATTTGGTTTGATTTTTTTAAATTAATTAATGAATGATGTTGATTATTTTTAAAATTTAAACTTTTTTTATATATATATTAGACAGACTTCGAGCTCTAGACTCATTATTTCGTTTAACATGCGAAAGCGAAAAGGTTACCGTAAAGGATGCAAGGGTAGAAGTAAGATTTGTAATTACTATGAAAGTTAATACATAATAGGCTAATTCACGTGTTGATGACTAATTATGAAGCAGGAGGAGGAGGAAGAAGATACCAATGATGATGGCGATGATAATGTTAATGTTAATGTTAATGTTAATGTTAATGTAGGCAATGAATAATCTTAATAATAGAGACCATAATAAGCTGATAATGTAGGATGTTATTATTATTTAAGGATTTTTTTTTTTGTTTTTTGGAAAAATGCTTTTCTTAAACTTTGATAATAATTAAAAAGACCATCAATATATAACGGGAAAGGCAGAATGGAAGTAGACTTGTCTCCAAGAAGAGATAAAAACATAAATATCACAAAATCGGTAATTATTTTTATTAAAACAAATAATCCTTCTGATCAATTATCTTTAAAATTAGATTGGAAATGTTCAGAGAACTACTTAACAAATTACATCAACTCCAACGTTTCCTCCAAAAATAAAGTTGATGACTTACTCGAGGAAATAAATGAATTATCAGTAGAAAATAATATAGAAGAGTTGAAGAAATAAAATCTTCTTTGGCATTAATAGAAAAAGATAATAAAGCATTGTGTGCAGAGGATTCTGTCTTTTTAGTATAATTTAAAGCATATTATTTAATAATCCATTTATCAATAGATATAAGTACCAGAATAAATTTAATTAAAAGCTTATAATTCTTGATTTTTTAATCAACTCACAACATTTACAAATGAAAATGTCTCTTTCGAATTATATCGAACAAGGATTATGATTCTTTATTTTTTCCATGATAACTTATCCTGTGAAAAAAAAACAGGCATTTCTTCAGTAATTCAATCAGAATCAAAGTTTATTTTTACGCCACGTGAACAATTTCATCAACCCAAAACTTAATCGTGCGATTTAAAATCCATTTCTTATATAAAAAAAGTTATATTTCAGGTATCATCATCAATAATATTTAATATTTTAAAAACAAAATGTTTTTGACGCGACACTGCTCGGAAGAAAGTGTCTGGGACGCACCTTTTTGATTATTCCGCAAAATTCACAATTTTATCATGTATGGTAAATTATTTATTTCAAGATAACAATGTACTTGTTCATGATGTGAAAAATAGGATTACGCGAAAAAATTAAGGTTGACCTTCTCAACCATCAGACCTTAATCCAATTGAGCATCATTGAGGATGAACTCGAAAGGCAATTGAAAAAAGAAAAGGCTATCCTAACGGAATTAGAGGTTTCTTTGAAAAGAAAAATTGTCAAAAATTCCTCAAGAAGAAATTTTATTAGAATGTTATAAAATAATGAATTTTATTGCTTTATGCATTAAAATTAATATGCAAATTGATATTTTTTTGTTATGCAAAATTTTGCAGAGTAATCAAAAAGGTGCTTTCTTCCAGGTAGTGTAGAATCAAAATTTCCTTTTTCATTTCCCTTTAGTTCTTAATAATAAAATAAGCCATAAAGCACTACTAAACTTATATTTCATAACTTAATAAGCTATCATTACTTAAATTTAATTTAGAAATTTCTTTCATTTAATATTCTACTTGTATGATATGCTAATGGATGTGGTTTATAAATTTGTTGTGAATAAATAATATTATTAATATTGCTACTACTACTACTATTATTATTATCAAGAATTTCTCCAAGTTTATTATAAGCAAAGTTCCGAAGCTCTCTACTAGTTGGTCTTTTGGATGGATCCACATCCCAACACATCTGCATCATTTGTGCATAATCATCAGGCATTCCTGGCAATATTTGTGGTCGTAAACCTTTGCATATATCAAAAATTAAATGATGATTATGACCTCTATCATCAAATGGTGGGTGGCCTGCAAATAATTCCCACATTAACATCCCAACACTATAAATATCTGTTTCTTTTGTATTTCTGTTTCCTCTAAATTGCTCTGGTGCGATATATGATATAATTCCATAGATTTTATTTGATGATTTTTCATCAACTGGTCCACATAATCCTAAATCTGTAATATAACAATAACCTCCATACAACAATATATTGCCACTATGCAGATCACAATGAATCAAATCTTTTTCATGTATATCATATAATGCATTACATAAACATTCAAAGATTGTAATTCTATTTTTTAATGTTAAATTAGAATGATTTTTTTGTAAATAGTCCCTTAAATTTCCCTCTTGATAATATTCAAAAATAATTGCATAATTTCCATTATCTGGGAATTTAGTTATACCATAGCATTCAACAATCAGTGGTGATTTAATTTTACAATAATTTATTGCCTGTAATTGAATATAAAATCAATTAGTATTATATAATAGTATTTATTTTTGATTTAAATAAAACTACCAACTTCATCAAAAAATGCTTTTCCTGGATTACTTGAATTATTTAAACTTTTTAATACTATTCCTTGCCTTCCAAAATAACTAAATTCCTTTTTATTTTCATTGTAATCAATTATTCTTCCCCTTGTCCATGTAGCAGTATAAATTGAACTAAATCCACCTTCTGTCAACTTTGTTATATCATCAAATTGCTCAAAAGGTATCCATTCTAAAATATAGTCTGGTAGAGAAGATTTCATTTGACATTGTTGAATAAAGTTGTCAACTGTGTTATTTCCAGATGTCCAAGTGGTGAAAAGACCCTGTAGTTGTAAAGTAATACAGCCTTCACAGAATCCCTCAGAGTATCTTGTTGTTTTACACTTGTCACATTCTTTGGGTTCACCCAATTTATCTTTTGCATTTTCTAATTCAAATCCATAAATAAACTTTTCTTTACAATATTGTTTTTCATTAAAAAATAATAATCTTTTCTACTTTCTTCTTCTTCTTCAGAATTAACCAGAGCATTATTATACATTTCATTATCAATTTTATATACAAAGTTCCTTCTTTCTGGTGTTAATAATTTATCAAATGACATTTTAACTTTATTTAAAAATTTAATTTATTATTGAATGGCGAAGAAATTGAAAATTTTTTTTTGAAAATGGTAGCCTACGTTTTCTGTGCAACTGCACAAATATAAAACATTCTAACCTATTGTCACCAATTAATTTTGGGAGAGCGTATTTTAATTGATGATAACAAATTTTTATTATTTTATGTGGATCAGAATGA